AGCTGTTGTTCAGTATCTTAGCTGTAGAGGGCAGTGTCACTGGCCCTCATATGTGGGATCCGAACCAGGGTCCTCTGGCATCTCAAGCCAGCTCTTAACCAACACGCCACTCGGCCGGCCCTTAATCATATTACTTTACAAATATATTATTTTTATTTTAACTTTCTAGTGTATGAAGCACTTGTATTTTTATATTTAAAACTAGCAGGCTCTTATTTGTTTAAGCAATATTTAAGATAATATAAAAGGGTCTACAACTTGACTAGCCGTTTTATAAACTAGATCTTTCAAAACAACAACTCTAATGCCAAATTTTTTGCACTATTCTCTCCAGGATGAGAAACAAACAAATAAAAAGCAATCTAGTCAGTGAACATCACGGATTTGTTTGCAAGCTCTTTGGACTGATGTAGTACCTGAATTTCATCTTTGTGTCAGATTGACGTATTTTTACATTACCACCTTTCATTTCAGAGCATTGGGGAATCGACGATGTCTATTGTGTTAAATCAGCTGCTGCCCATGATTAAGCCCTCAAATCAGAGGGCCAATGATGACTACAGCCCCGAAGAGCTGTTGATCCTCCTAATATATATTTATTCTGTCACTGGAGAGTTCACAGAGGACAAAGACCTGGCTGAAGCTGAAGAAAAAGTAAAGAAAACATTGGCCCAGGTCTTTTGTGAGGAGTCTGAGCTGTCACCTTTGCTGCAAAAAGTCACAGGTGAGTGTTTAACAAAGATATAGGAGGTAAACATCACTGTTACAGAAAAGAAGTTTAAATGTAAAAGCTATTGCAGAAAGAGGATATAACCATCTTCGTTGGAAGTGTTTGGAATTTCATGAGGCCTGCTGAATGCTAGCTAGCCTTTAAGATCAGAGGTTTTCATTGCAGTATTGTTTTTTCCAGTCATGGGAGTGTAATGGCCTTCTCGTTGCTTGTCAGAATTCATATTCCTTAGAGCCAAAGCCTTGTTAAAGTAACAAATACTCAGAGGGCATAATATCTTTAAGGAAAAATAAAATGTATTGCATTCTATTCAAAGAATTTCTGTTGACATATTCTCTTGAGATTGTCATTTCAAACTTAAAAAAAAAAAAAGTTTCCCTAATATATTACATAACGTTATAGGATTAAAAATTTCCATTTTCTAGAGTGGTTTCTTATTTTGACTCCTCATATTTCATTTTGAATCTTAAATTATTTAATAGTATCTAAAATAATAGCCAAACATCCCCATAAAGTGGGCTATGTTAATTTTGGGGAAATATATAATTAAATATCATAAACTCTAACTGTTTTTGCTTCTAGTAAGAACTGTCTTAGAGACATTCATTTGTGTTATTCTGTATCAAATTTAACATTTTTATTTATATTTTGTGTAAAGCTTATTTCCATTAGTATGGATTGAGCCTGGGTCTGTTTGAGAGTGAGACGTTATTAAAATTTACACATAAAACTTAAATACTTTAAAAACATACCAGGTTTCCATTCATTAATGAATGTGTGTATGTAGAGGTGTGTGTAGACCTCTCCACTCAGGAAGGCTCGGTTGAGGCAGATCGTATATCGTCTCACTTTTCCTCCTGTGCCCTGTTGTGCCTCCCTGAGGGAAATATCCAGGTTGCTCAGAAGCAGCCTGTGTAGCTGTCAACCTAAGAAGCATCCCGTGCATGTGTGTTTTTCTTTATGCCCACGGCTGACCTTTCCTATGTTTGTTATGGAAAATGAAACCCTGACAAGATGGAAACTGAATGAAGTTTCCACAGAAATGAGACATTTTCTTGCTTAGTAGACCCTGTTTGCCAACTTAATATCTATTAAGGAAAACTTGTGGAATTTGTTTCCATTTCATTTAGGTTTAATACTATATGTTATTCCATGTGTTTGGCTATAAATGAATATTGACTTAGAGAGTTTTAATATGGTTTACACAGTGCTCAGAACAGTGGTTTGATTCAAAGTAAAATTGAATGCTTAGGAGAACTTAATTGGAAATTATTCTTAAAATGCATAATTTCAGAAACAGACAACAAAGATTGTGTGTTTTAGCTAAGGTCATTTGGATAACTTTTCTGTAACATTACTATGTTGCTCTATTATTTTGGGAATTGAAGTCATGCTGTAAGAGTTTTCATTTAATATTTGCTCAAGGTGTTTATTGACCCAGCATTTCATTCTTTATTAGTTTCTCTATTTATGATTGTTCAGGATGCTGCATTTTCTTGCTGTTAACCATGATTTCACATTTTAAAACACTTCTGTACGTTGAAGGTTAAAAAATAAGAATTTGTGGAAATTTTAATATATTTTAAAATTTTAGACAGATCTTATTTTGTAATACTGAGTGTGCATTCCTACCTAGATTAACTTTGCATGCACATTTTAAACAGGATGGATAAGATGTGCTACTTAAATTTGACTTAGTGAATTTACCCCTGGAACACACATGCATTGATCAACCGCTGTGCACACCAAAACGACTTTATTTCTGAAGACAGACTTTTACTTGGCCGATATAGACATACCCCTTATTAAGTAGGTTGTAAAGTCTTGAGAAATAGGGTTTATGTTTATAGTTAGCTGCAGAGGAGAATATTTAATCTACATCCCAGGATAAAAAGTAATAGGATAGTGTTGGAGCTGTGGTCATTCAATGTTATAGAGTAGGATGAGGTACCCCAGTATGGACTGGAAGAATCGAATTGCCTTCAAATATGCTTAGTCTGTCATTGAACAGGTTAGCCTGGCTTTTTACCATGAACTTGCCCACAGTATTATGCTTATGTTATTTCAGTTTATAGTCTTCGCTCACTAATTACTGGGCGGCAGACTTTATTTTATGCCTTGTGCTCTTTTTGTGGTTAAAAAGTATTGTTGAAAAGAAGCAATCAATATAAGAATTCTACTTTTTATATAATGCTATATAATTTTACTCATCTTAACTGTCAGTAGGATCAGGAAAGCAACATTTTCTCTGTACTAAAAAGTTAAGCATGTTATATCATTGCCCATCGCTAAGTGATAGAACCAGAATTTGAACCCTGGTTTCCGGATCAAGAGCCCATGTCTTTTAAACTCACTGCCACAAGCTCACTTCCATAACCTCTGTATTTGTTGTATTCTCCAGCTATGCTTGGTTACACATACTGTTTTATGCCATACATGCTCTACCATTTCATCATGTTCTAATTTTCTAAACATCAAATTCATATATGGTTAATATTTTAGATACTGCCTGTGCTTTTTAATCTGTCTACAATAGCTACTTGTAGATGTTTCTTCATACCTTCCTGTTTTTGTGCATCCGCTTTGTTTCTGAATTGCTGTAAAGAAACTAAAATATTTCTAGTCATTGAAATCTATTAGTTGTCTAGCTTTTCTAAAACAGGAGTGGCAAACTTAAATTCTTTTCATTTCAATAATATCTCTTGACAATAATTGCCCTGTGTTTAAAATTTATATTTCCTTTTACATGTTAAATATGTAATTTACTTTTGGCAATTTCTTTCATTTCTCCCTATTCTTCCCTTTTATGGAAAGGACAATGAGAAATTGTAACTGGCAAAACAAAACAAAACTTCAGCGTGGTCAATGGCAGCATACTATTTTCTTTTTAATAGATAGTTTTGGGGAGAATGGTAGGCAAAAACTCTCTTTTCTACTCACATAAAATAACAAGGGTTGGGTCTCTGGGTGTCAGTGATGGGAGCTGTAAAAAGAAAATTGGTATGGCCCAAATATGTTGTTTAATGTTGTCCTTTCTTCCTCTTGCTCAGTTCAAAGAGAGTATCAGTTTCCATATGCGTTAGTGTTTGCATGGCAGTCACAAGACAAAACAAAGGAAAACCATTTGAACTTTTTTCAGAGAATGAAATCAAAACCCAAATTTTAAAGATCTGTGCAGACTTGGAATGTCATCATATAGGGAGCTGCATCAGAAAAAGCATAGGGCTCAGATGCAGAAATCCTTGATTCAAAAGTCCATGCCATTTCCTCGTAGTGTGTGTTTTTGGGCACATCACCCATCTTTGAACCTTGATAAGAAACGTAAGTGCCCTATTAACCACTCATGATTTTGCTGAGACTAAAATGATGTTATGTGTAAGAGCTAATTTTGGGTCCATGCAGTATTGTAAATAGATCATTTTTTCCCATTGCTATTACTATTTTGAGAGTATCTCGCTGTCACATAGGGTAGTGCTTCCCAATCTTTTCCACACTGTGATGCACAGAGACAGTGAGAATGTTTGCATAGTATACTGAGGTAAGTGAGCAGGACTGTTGTGGTCAGAGCCAACGATCCCTGGGGGCTCTGGTCATTCTAAGGCACTACCCAGTTGACCTGTGAACTGAAGTGAAGCAGCAGCTTGGTACACCTGGAACCTATTAAGGGCAAATCTGTGTGCTAAGGTATCTTGGTCAAGAGGCTCTGGAATCAGTAAACAAAGAAAAGCAAGACTTGCATATGGTTTTTCACACCCAAACCTATTTTGGAAAAATTTCTTTTGGTAAAAATTGTTATATTACTCATTGAATTTTTAATAGTATCTTTAAAGAAAAGGTCAGTAGGGGCTAGATCTTTTTAGTTAGGCTTAGTATAAAGCTAGGGAATGAATGATTCAAAGTATCTGAAAATTCTGTGGTTCAAGATAGAGGCATGAAAATACCATAGAAACCGTAATTTACATTTGTTAGACTCTTATTTTACTTCCTGTTGATAATTTGGGATTATCAATTACTGTATCATTGCATTAGGATTGTACCTGGATATATGTCATGGAAAATTTACCGGCTTAGCTTAACAAACAGGGATTTGTTTTTCTCACCCAGAAGTTCACAGACGGGCAGCAGAAGTCATGCTCTTTCTAGCCTACCCCTCCTCCTGCCTTGCCTCCCTCCGTTTCTCCCTCCCTTTCTTCCTTTTTTCCTGAAGGTGTGGGTTTGTCATCATGGTTCTAAGGTGGGCACTCCTTCTTGATGTTATGTCCATGCTTCAGTCAAGAAGTGAGGAAGGATAAAAGTAAAGGTATATGGTAGCAGAGTGTCCTTTTTTTTTTTTTTAAAGACTTTATTAGGGAATTGGGGGAGGGGAACAACGCTGGGGAATCGGGGGAAGAGGAACAGACAAGTTGCTGTTGGTTTGTTCTTCAGTCTAGTTGTGAAGGATGTTGCTTCACTGGCCCAAGTTGGCACCATCACTGTGCTCTTCCTGGACGAGGCAAATCAGTCACCAGCCTCTGGATGGCCGCTCACGGTGGCTGCTGGTTGTTCATGCTGGCTGCTGGCTACACATGGTAGCCCATGGCAGCCCACTGCAGCAGGGGCTGCAGCCTACGCCGTTGCCGGCAACCCACAGCAGCCCAGCTCCAGGTCGAGCTATTGTTCAGCATCTTAGCTGTGGAGGGCAGTGTCACTGGCCCTCATATATGGGATCTGAACCGGGGCCCTCTGGCATCCCAAGCCAGTTCTTAACCAACGTGCCACTCGGCCAGCCCCAGAGTGTCCATTTTATATTAGGAAAATAATAGCCTTTCTGTAAGTTCTACCTAGAAGACTTGTATCATTGGCTAACTGGGTTTTATGAGCATTTCTGGCTACAGGAGAATCTGATGGGTATTTTTAACTGGGCATATATTAGTCATGAATGAAGTCAGGGTTCTGTTAGAAGAAAGAAGGTGAGAATGGACATTAGGTAAGAACTTTGTATTTGCTGCAATTAT